ATGTAACAGCTCTCTTCCCAGTTCTTCCCTGTAGTTATCTCTTCCCTGTGTCCTTCTTTCCTAGGCATTCCTGCCCTCTGAATTATCTACCTGTACAAATACTGCCTGCTGGTCTCCCATGATTGATTGTTCTAGGGAGTGTATCTACCTGATGTAAGTATTCACCCTATATACCTGTCTATTGTTTGGCTGGAAGCAATGGGAGTGAGTTCAATTCCAGGCCTGAAGGGTGACTAGATGCCATAGTTTCAGGGGGTTCCCAGAGCTCTATCAGACCAGTATGTCATGCCTGGCCTTTTTTTTTTATTATTTTTTTTTAATTGATTTTTGGTTTTGTTCCTATTTTGGGAGCTTTTTATTTCTATTATTGTATTTTTCAGTTTTATAATGTCTACTGGATCTTTTATATGATTTCTATTTCTTTGCTGCTATTTTATGGGTTTTTTTTGGTCAATAAAATTTGTAACTTCTTGTTATAATATTTCTTTGATGATTGCTTTAAAATCCTTGTCAGATGATTCTAAAATCTGATTCATCTGTGTAAGTGTCAGTTGAATGTCTTTTCTTATTCAAATTACCATGGGTGGTTTTTGACTGAATCCTGGGTGTTCCGGCTATTATTTTAGGAGTCTTATTTAATCTTTTATTTTAGCAGACAGTCACTCTATTTAGGTTTATCACATAGGTTCTGACCCAATTTTGGCTCCAATGACTATTTAATTTTCAATATTGTGGGGTGCTATGTTGGTTTGCTTGGTTGAACTGGTACCACTGGCACCATGATAGATCTCTACTGCCTGGGAAAGCTCAAAGGGTTTTTCCAGACCCAGTCTCCTGGTACCCCTAGGTGGGAAAAGGGCACCTGTGGGCTGTGGAAAGCAAGAGCATTCCTTGGGTTAGGATGCTCCTAACAGTGTTATCTGGCTGCTTGGTGTTGCTAGGTGGGAGAAGGGATTCTCCAGCCCAAAGGGACTAAGAAGCTTCCTGGGTGAGGCTCTTATTGTGATGATTCCCTCCTATGGCATCAGAGCTTTGTCAGAAAAGAAATTACATGAGACTATGTTTCTCAGGATAATTTGTAGCATTCAGTGTTGTTGTTATGGTTATGTGCCGTCGAGTTGGACCCAACTCAACGACCCCTCCTTGGGTTTCCGAGGCAGTATCAGTACGGAAGTAGATTGCCCCATCTTCCTTCTGAGGAGTGGCTGGTGGGTTTGAACCGCCAGCATTCTGAATAGCAGTCAGGTGTCTTTGGCACTACAGTACCAGAGCTCCCAGCACTCAGTGTAATCAGTCTAATTTTAAATTGGGTTTAGACCTAGAGATATCACTAACCTATAGACCCTAACCACCCAAGAATCTGGTCTGACCCACTCCTTTGAATCATCTTGCCCAGAGTTGTGCTACTTCCCAAGGCTAGATCTCAGTTTCATGCAAAATATTTTATACTGGTCTTTGTCTTTGTAGCTCAGGGAATTAAAGTAAGAGGGAGAGATGTGGGACAGTTTTGACTCTGGATATGAGAGCTGGAGGATTGGAAGGAAATGGCAAACTGTATTAGGAGGTCCAACCCAACTGGGCCCAACAAGCAGGAGAGTCAGAGATTGTATACTATGTGGATATATTAGGGGAGAGGGGAAGGGGCAGTAGATAGCCAATGGACTCTAATTTTACAAGGTTCCAGTGATAAAAACTGTCAGGTTCATAGTTTTGCAAAGTTGGCTCTAAAAGGTAAGAAAGATCAACAGTTTAATTCAGCAACAGTAGCCAACATTAACTGGATGTTTATTCTGTGCCAGGCACTTAACTCAGAATTTATGTATATTATTCAATCCTAAAGGAGCTCTGCGCTGTGATCTCACTCTTCAGGTAAAGCGGCCTCCCAAGCAAGGAAGATGCCTCGGCCCTGTCCGCAAAACCCCTTCGCGCTGGAGGTGAGTGGAGCTGCCTGCAAAGCCAGAGAGCCACCTAACCCAGCAGCCACTCCTCGGAAGGAAGGTTGGGCAGTCCTACTTCCGTAGTGATACTGCCTCGGAAACCCAAGGAGGGGTCGCTATGAGTCGGGGCGACTCGACGGCACATAACAACAACAACAACAAAGGAGCTCTGGTGGCGCAGTGCCTAAGGTATTAGATTGCTAACCTGAAGGTTGGTGGTTCAAACCCACCAGCTGCTCTGCAGAAGAAAGACGAGACAATGTACTTCTGAAAGATTTACAGTCTTGGAACTCGAGTGGGGATCGCTATGAGTCAGAAGTGACTCTCTGGCAGTCGGTTTGTTTTTTGGGGTTTTTTAGTCAATCCTAAGCAAAGTTATGAGGCAGATACTGTGTTAGTCCCACTTCACCAGATGCAAAAACAGGCTTAAAGAGTTTTATTATTATTATTATTTATTACTTTATTATTTTTTTAGTGCCCTGAATATCCAGGGTCATGTAACTCCAAAGCATATGTACTTGAACACTGTTTACCTTTTAGAGCTTCTGTTTCCTTACACATAAAACAAACATAAAAGTTTTATGTGATTAAAACTTTCCCTTCTTTTCTTGTAGGGTTTCTGTCAGGAGATCAAATGAGAGTTCCCTTACAAATGGTGCTGATGAATGTGTGTAGCAGTTTAGTGTTTAGAGGAGACACCTCTCAACAGGAATGCCTACCCTGAGGCAAGTCCTGAAGGCTCTTCTACCAGCAGTCTTAGGTGACTTTCTCTGTAAAGGCAAAAACTCGGCTTTGTGCTGGGTAAGTGTTTGCTGAACTAAGTGCGAGCGATTCTTGGCAGCAACTGGCAGCAGCGGTGGGAAAGATTCAAACTGACAGGTTAGAGTGCTGTGAAGGCAGTCAGGATGGGGGACGATTAACCTCGCCGAGGCAAAGTGCATAGAAGTGGGGAGGACCCCTGGAAGGTGAGCAAAGTCTACACAGAGCTGAGAGCGGAAATCCCCGAAGCATCACCATTTGAATTGGCCTGGTGGCTCCAAGAAGTGTGAGTGTGTGTCTGTGTGTGTCTGTCCATCTATCTGTCTGTTCCCCTAATGTTAGGAGAATAACTGTGCTGGACTCATTCCCATGATGAAAATCCTGTAAACCGTTAAAGCCAAGAGAAACCAGGGTGACACCCACCACAGACGCAGCACCGCCTCTCTCTTCCTCCCACTCCGAGCCCCCGCCCTGGGCAGTGGGACCAGCCACTCAGGTGTGGGGGACGCCTGGCGGACCATGGCTGGGCTTAGCTGCCTCATGTCCAGGCTTCCCCTGTGCATTAGTTAAGTGGAGTCTCCCAGCCTGCGCCCCCTGGCTCAGGAGCTACAGTCCGAGTCCAACAGTTGTTCGCGCAGTTCCATTGGAGTCACCGAGCTCGCTGGTTCTCCTTGGCTGAGCTCCCGCTGCTGCTCCGAGGAGGACGCGATTGGTCGCTGCCTCCTCAGCGTAGAGCGAATTTGCCCACTAACACTCTCGGTTCGCCCCTCGGAGAGAGGTAAAAACGGTCTTCTGCCTTTTTTCGGGCACACCAGCGCGAGGTATGGCGGGCGAACCAGCGTTCCAGCTGCTGCGGGGTGAGAGCCAGCGGGCGCGTTGTCTGGGGCGTGGGCACCAATCCCTGGGCATCCCGAGGGGACACTCTTGGATAACGGGTTTCCCTTGGCGCAGTTGTTAATGCACCACTAGCAGACCATCTAGTCCCCTGCGGGCTCCCTGGGCGCCCCTCACCACCCCCCACGACCACACCCTGAATTGCGGCGTCCAACCCTTGCCCGCAGGGATCAATGGGTACGAATCGCACTTGGTTCAGAGATGATGGCGATTTTTGTATTAAAAATATAAAGAGGATAACGAAACAAGGACTTATTTGGAGAGGAAAGGTTTAATAACAGCGCGCACTCTGCACGCATTTGTGTTGTCTGTGTTTTAAAGACCGGGAAGATGTTAACTGTTACAGATTCTCATTTTGTAGCCAGTGCTGGGGAATTGACAGTGGAATAGTGTGGTGCGAAATAAAAAACTGAAATGGGTGTGTATGAGAGCATATGTGGCCACAGCAAGAGTAAGAGTAAGGCATCGTGGTCGGAAGAACAGCTGAGCGAGATTCCCCTGCTCTCCGACGGCACTGGCTGGGGAGGTGTCTGGTGCGGGTAGCTTGCTGGTGTCTGCCGTTGCTGAGGGACTAGGCGAGTTGGCGGCAAGCTGAAACTCCCCAGACTCTCAGCAGCACAGATGTCACTCCAGTTTCTTTCCTGACTGTGCCGTACTCTAAGCTGCCCTAGTGCGCACTTTATCTCCTCTGTTCCTATTCCTGGCGTTCCATGGCCATGCCACACTGATACTTGCATATCCCGTGGCTTCTCACAACCCCACCTTGTATTTTCTCCCATCACCACAGCACCAAAATTCTTCTTTTCCCTCGTATTCCTCATTTTGCAACTCTCACTTGAGTGGCGGAGTCATTCAGAATTTCTTCTTGCTGCGTAGCCCCCTCTATAGTCCCTCTCTCCCACCTATTTCTCTTACACTGTACCTCTTCCCTGTTACGTTTTATTATTTTATAAATCAGGAAACTGAGGTTCAAATGTTTCTCAAAGGGTTGTAGTGAGGATTAAATAAAAGTATTAAAAAAGGGGGGGGGGAGCATTGGGATGTTGCTGGATCCTTCCACTCTTCTAGATTCTCTACAGCTAATTAACTTTGGTCCGCAAGCCGCCAGGTCTGATGTATATTCCTGGCGGATAAGTCAGCCAGCGCAGACTCATGAGCCCACCCCAAACATGTATGTTGTCCCAGACACAGGCTGTTTTTTCTGTTTCTTGTTTGTATTGCAGAGTGGACCCTCGCCAGCATCCTCCGTCGTCTCCATCCCCCAGGAGCAGCTGACCAGGTAGATGCCCTGACTCCATGCCAGGTTGGGAACCCGTCACTCACTCGCCTCCCTTTCTCCCTCTAGGCTATCCCTACCAGCGGCTAACTTCCGGAGAAGTTGTGCTCCCATCAACAGGTCAATTCGCGACAATGGGCAACTGCTGCTTTGGCTTCAAGGAACGCCTGATGAGACGCCTGAGTCCTTTGCCTACCCTGCTTATCATCCGTGCTTTCATGCCCCAGAGGCGGTGCAAAGACTACCGCGTGGTGGTGCTCGGCTCTGCTGGTGTGGGCAAGAGCGCGCTGGTGCAGAGATGGGTGCGCGGCACCTTCCGTGACACCTACCTGCCGACCATCGAAGATACCTACCGTCAGGTGATGAGCTGCAACAACAACGTGGGTGCCCTGCACATCACCGACACCACTGGTGGTCACAGGTACCCAGGCCTGAAGCGCCTTGCCATTGCTAAGGGTCACGCCTTCATCCTGGTCTACTCAGTCACCAAGAAGCAGACCCTGGAGGAGCTGAAGGCCTTCTACGAGCTGATCCGCGAGATCAAAGGCAACAACATGCATAAGTTCCCGATCGTGCTTGTGGGCACCAAGTGTGATGAGAACCGCCGTGAGCTGACCCTGAGGGATGGCGCCGTCTACGCGCTGGAATGGAATTGCGCCTTCGTGGAGACCTCAGCCAAGATCGATTTCAATGTGAAGGAGCTGTTCTTCATGCTGCTGAATCACGAGAATAAGCCCGCTGCCTGTCTCCCAATTCCCCAGAAGAAATCCCAGAAGACCACCGAGAAGGTGCTTGGCAAATGTATTATCATGTAAGCCCCCAATTCTAAGAGCCCGACCTGCCTTCCCTTACAGTGAGCAAAACATGGATTAATCCCAGCTTAATGTGTCATCTGTACATGATTGATTTTGTGCTGTGATTTGGACTGTAACAATTAGGTGTCAATAAATGTGCCCTGTAAACATAAATTTCTTTTACCCAGATGAGAGAGTACAAATTGTTCAAGCTTGACGTATGAAGAGAAGAAAAAAGAAGGAACAGGCTGCATTTTAAGAATAAGACCTGGACAGACAGATTTCAGAACATGTTTCAAAAGGGAAAGAAAATATCAAAATGAAATGAATGATGTCACATCCCTTCTTGTAACTCTGTTATTGTGTATTATTATTGAAGATTTCAAATCCTATCAGTCTAATCATATTCTTTCCATTGTGTATTTAATGCTTATGAAATGTGTTTCTGCAACAAAAGCTTTGGCAAATTTCTGTGAAAACAAGTATATTAAACAAGAAATAAATGAATATTCTGTAGCTAATCATGGAATAGGCATAGAGAAAATTGTGAAAATGAATGTGTTTACCAAAGATGTGCTAGTTGTTTTCTGAGTCATTTAAAAATGTTTGGGTGTTCCACATAGCTGTTTTAAAAAAATAATAATCTAATAGTTTGATGACTTAATAAAGCTATTCCTGCATGTAATGAGCTCTCATATATTTTTTTTTTACCTGACAACAAAACACAACAAAACTAACAAAACAAAACTTATCCATTACATAAGAATTTAAAACACACCTTGTAAAGATTTTGAATAAGAATTTCACACAAGGATGACTCTCGTCTCTTGAAATTAGTCAATTTAAGCATTCCCTACAATGCAGAGCTGATTTGTGTCCATAACGTTTCCTGGACTGACATTCAGAAGATAAGGCATCTTCAAAGATGATATTCACTGTGTTGCTGTCTTGGAGATAGCAGGTGAAAAACAAAATACTCAAACACAGTGCCTTGGAGTCATTGTGACCGCTATACAGCAGAGTAGAACTGCCCCATGGAGTTTCCAAGGTTGTAACCTTACAAGCTCCTGCAGAGCAGCCGGTGGGTTTGAACCACCGACTTTTCAACTAGCAGCCAAGCATGTAAGCACTGCACTGCACTGCACCACCAGGTCTCATTAACAGGTAATAGGTGCACCTCAAACTTTGCCTGTCACTAACACCTTTCCTCAAGAAACACTGGATACATGGGGTGGAGAAGGGATGCATAGTGAGGAGAGAAATAGATAAGAGTTAAAATTAGATAAACAATTTGAGTTTTTTTAAAAAGATTAATTTTATATTTGAGCATAATTTTCTTTGAGGAAATTCACATCTTATGACCTTGACCTTGCTTTTGAGGGTTTTGTTGGTTGGTGGGTTGGTTATTTTGATGTTAGGAAAGGGAAGTTCTTCATCCGGTGATTTTTCCGTAAAATATTTATTATTCAAAAATATTGAGCAATTTCTGTGTTTCTTAAGATGGTTTCTTACAGTCTTATATCTAGGAGAAAAGTATATTATTGAGAAGGAATTGTAAACATCTACTGCAGAGTGGTGTAGAGTTTTGAGCTTAGAAACTCTATTCAGGTCTCCTTTTTAAATAGTTATTTATGAGTTTCCCTATTTATTTTGGAATCAATTTATTTCCAACCACTAGAAAATACCTAGGTAGGGTTTTTGTGTATTCTATTTTTTAAAAAACAAAATAATTCTTATCCAGGCCTCGCTAAGAAGAGTCTGTCCTGATTGAAGAACTGTATCCTGAGTTGTCACTGATCCTAAATTATAACCTCTTACTTTCCTAATAATCCCTATAATCATGAAAAAAATAACATAATTCTTAGCTGAAGTTCCTAGTGGAATAATTCCATTTTTAAAAGAAAAATAACTTGGCTATTTCCCACGAGAATTTTCTTTCAAAATTGTAACATATTTGATGCTCCTTGTAGATGAACAAAAACATTATTAATGGTTTGACTGGCAAATATTAATCTTTAGAAAAGGAAAACATGTTTTTAATGTTTCAGGTAATGCTTAGTAAAATAACTAAATAAATAACATTGCAAGATAATATACCAGACAGTATTCTACGTGATATCATTGCTTCCTCACAATCCAGTGAAGTGAATAGTGTTATGTGCATTTTGCAGATGGGTGCACTGATAAGCATTAAAAAACTTGTAAGTGGCAAACCCAGATGTTCTGTGCTAGAGTCCATGCTTTAACCAATCTGGTATACCACCTCTCTAAGATGACAAGTCAAAGGGCAAACAAGCTGATTTTCTGTTCTCTATATTAGACAGAGATGAAAAGGGAAGCTTCCATAGACCCGCCCTAGAATCCAGAATGGGAGCCAAAGAAGTAAATCAACAGTTAAAATGTGTAGGGTATTTTTAAAATAGGGAATAGAAGCACTTTGCATGGGGAGTCAGAAACATTCCTCCAAAACAGGTCATATTACTGGAAACTTTTAGTTTAGTAGGAGTTGATTTAAGGAGTCCTAGTGGTGCAGTGGTTAAGAACTTGGCTACTAGCTAAAAGGTCAGTGGTTCAAACTCATCAGCCGTTCTGCAGGAGAAAGCTATAGCCATCTGCTTCTCTAAAGATTACAGTCCTGGAAACCCTCTGGGTCAGTTCTCCTCTACCCTTTAAAGTAGCTGTAACTGGACAGCAATGTTTTTTTGGGGGTTTAGGAGTTGGCTTAGCTGGAGCAGATTTGGGTGAGGGAAGGAGAAGACGACATTTTAGACAGAGTGGAGTGTACAAGTCATGACAAACTATGAGGTCTGAGAGATCATGGCATGCTTCCAGAAATGAACACAGCAAATTATAGAAGATAAGACTGAAAAGTCTTATCTTGCCCTTTAGAGGTACTTCTTGTTCTTGTTGTTGTAATGTGCCCTCAAGCCGGACCCGACTCAATAGCGACCCCTCCTTGGGTTTCTGAAGCAGTATCTCTACGGAAGTAGATTGCCCTATCTTCCTTCCGAGGAGTGGCTGGTGGGGTTTGAATTGCCAGCCTTCTGGTTAGCAGTCAAGTGCCTTAGCCACTATGCCACCAGAACTCCTTTAGAGATACTAGGAAGCTGCTAAAGGATTTAGGCAGACTTTATCGTATTTACGTTTTTTAAAAGGTTATTTTGGAGCTTTTCTGTTCTGGAGTGTACTGAAGAGAGGCAGGTAGACAAACTAGGCCATTATTAAAATCACACAGGAATGAGATTTTGAGTAAATGCTCTAGGCATTGCCAGAGAGAATGGAAAGAAAGGGTTGGATTTCAGGGCTATTTTAGTAGAGAGAATGGCAAGAGCTTGGCGATATAATGTCTTTGGAAGAACCGGAAAATTAAGGTGACTTCCAAGTTTCTCATTCCTGGATGGGTTGTGAGGGCATTAACCAAGCTCAGAAATGCAGAAAGAAGAGTCAATTGAGGGAATACGTACTTGCACATGTACGTCTCACTCATGTTGAGTTGGATCCAACTCACAGCAACCCCTCCTTGGGTTTCCAAGGTGGTATCTATACAGAAGTAGATTGCCCAATCTTCCTTTCGAGGAGTGTCTGGTGGGTTTGAACCAACAGCCTTCTGGTTACCAGTCAAATGCCCCAGGCACTATGACACCAGAGCTCATATGGATAATAAATTACATTTGGATGACATAGTTACTGGAACAGCTAGGTAGAAGTTTTCATTGAGGAACTGGGCTGACAGAGGGGACTGAAAACAATGGTCTGTGAGTTTTGAGCATGTAAGTGGTGGTAAGGTTGTGGAGGGGAGCTCTGGTAACATAGTGCCTAAGGCACTTGACTGCTAACCAGAAGGCTGGCTATTCACACCCACCAGCCACTCCTTGGAAGGAAGATGGGGCAATCTACTTCCGTAGTGGTATTGCCTCGGAAACCCAAGGAGAGGTCGCTATGAATCGCGTCCGACTCGACGGCACATAACAACAACAAGGTTGTGGAGAGAGAAAAAAAGAGAACAAGACAAAAGGATTTAGGGAGAATCTTTACGAATGCAAGCACTTAGGAAGGTACCGACAAAAGGAAACTGTGAAGGACCCTTAGATATGATCAAAACATGGAAGGAAATGCATAATATGCAGTTATGAATGCTAAAGGAGGAATGAGTTTCAAGGAAAAACATACAGTCAATCAGAACACTTCCACTCCTCCCCAAAACAGGATAAAACAAAGATTAGAAAATATTGCTCAGCTTTAGCAGTTAGGACAGAGTTCTGGTTTTATTTTTATTAATTTATTTTAAATTTGATTGTGCTTTAGGCACAAATTTACAGAGTAAAATTTGTTTTACATTCAACAGTTTGTGGACATTTGATTTCACACCCTGATTCCCATCCCCAACCATAACAAACTCTCCTCCCCTCCTGTCCCTGTGACTACTCCCTCCCTGTGCCGTCTTAACTGTGCACTCCTGTCTGTCCAGCTTTCCCTCTGTGTGAATGCTGTCCCTCTGATGCCCCATGGCTGATTGCTCTACAGGGTGTATCTCCCTAGAGTAGGTAGGTGCATTGCCTTGGGATAGGTGTTCTGCATGTATGTCTTTCTACTGTAGGGCTGAGAGCCAATCCAGGGAGTTAGTCCAATTCTAGGCTAGAAAGGTAACCCAGGGTCATAATCTTGGGGGTTCCACTAGACTATATCCAACCAGTAATTCTGGTCATTTTTGTACTTTTGGATTTTGTTCCACGTTTCCTCCCACTCTGTCCAGGATCTCCAGGTTTGATCCCTTTCCGAGTGGTTGGCACTGGTAGCCAGGCTCCATCTAGTTCTTCTGCTCTTGGCCTTGGACTAATTGTTTCCAGATTCCTTTGATTTTCTTCACTCTTCTTTGCTTCAGATGAGAGGAGACCAATAATTGCATCTTAGATGGCCACACAAAAGCTTTTAAGACCCCAGTCACTACTCACCTAAGTAGGTAGGTTGTGGAACAAGATTTTTTTTTTTTTTAATTTTTATTTGTATGGTTATTTGGGTGA